ACCCCATAATTTCCAGCCGTTTGAGCTTCAAAAGTGCACACAGATTACTGGGAATTGACACGAGCTCGCTGCACAACCCAATTGTGAGGGTTTTTAGATTTGTCAGCCCTGTCACGGAGCCTGGAATCTCCCTGAGGTTGAAACAGCACTGGATATGCAGCTGATTCAGCTTCCCAACGCCCTCAGGAAGCTTCTCATCTGAAATGAAATCCAGGTCAAGCCGGGTCAAGGAAGTCAACCCCTCGAATGAACCCGGGAGCTGCAGCCGATTAAAGACCTCTCCCTGATAAATCCTCCGGATGGCATCCATTCCCCCCAATCCCACGGGAAGCTTCAATTCCATCTGCTTCACCATGCCCAGCGTCTTGAGAGCTCCTACGCGACAAAAATTCGCGGGAAGCTGGCGGATTTTGCAGCAACTAACCATGAGCAGGGTCTTCAGGGAGGTGAGATACGCGAATGATTCCGGGAGTTCCGTGAGAGGGACCATGTACATGGTTATTCTTTCAAGGATGCGAGATTCCCAAAAGAGTCAGGGAGGTTGGTCAGGGCCACCATACGCAGGAACAATGTCTTCAGGGCAGGCAAGTGGCCGAACTCGACGGGCAGGCTGGAAAACCGGAGGCATAAGGAGATTGTCAGGCTCTCCAACTGGGTCAGAGACGCGAAATCATCGGGCAGCCGGGTGAGTCCAGAACACCAGCGAAGCGTCAGCTCACGGAGACACGGCAGAATCTCTCCAAGGTCGTCGGGAAGCCAGTCCAAGTTGCAATTCGCAATCACCAGCCGTTCCAGCCTGGAGCACGGCAATCCCGAAGGAAAGAACCGGCTGAAATAGAAACCATCGCCCTCAAGCTGTAGTGACTCCAAGAACTGCAGATGTGAAACGGAAAAGATTGTGGTTGGTTCGTCAACCAACGGATCGTACTTGATTGCGACGTCGGTAAACCTCGGCAGCTGCACGAGATTCACGAGATGCTGGTAAACCAGGTCCATGGAAGTTATGCGAATCGACGCGAGCGACGAAAGCTGCGAGAAACCGGGAGCGGCCAGTGCTGACGCGTCCGGGAGAACGACAATGCGGAGCTGCAAAAGCTGGAAGAACGAAGCCGGGAATACGGCGTTCGGGTGAAGGCAGTCGAGCGAGAGAACCTCCAGTTGCTTGCATTGCCGAAAGAGCCGACCCAGGCCAGCTTCGGAAACCGGGTGTAAGTGCTTCCTATCGTCGTCGTTTTCCTGATCCTCGCCAATGATTCTGCTTCCCACGTGAAGAACCGCCAGCTTAGGGCATGACGAAGCGGGGTGTGATAAGAAGTCGTCGTCTAGGGTTTCCACGCTGCCGTCGCACAAATGAAGGTGGGTCAGGTTCGGAAAGCATGAGACAGCGTTGGTGAGGTCTTGGCGGGAAACGGCGAGATTTTCCCTGACGAGAAGCGTCGAGACGTAACGCTGGGAGAGACGGCGTCAGCGACGGCAGACGGAAGCGACGAGGAGGCTAAGAGCTGCGTCGATGAAGGCAGGAGGAATCGGTACAACTAATTTCTGTTCAATACCGTGTGAGCGCTCTGGTGGAGCTTCAGTCCAAAAGTATTTTTGCCTCGGATACAAAAATTCGCGTGCAGCATTGTCGCGTGCAGCATCGTCGCATGTCGCATCGTCGCATGCTGCATCAATATTGTAGCTAGCAGAGAGCGGCGTTTGCCGGTCTGCCAGAGAATCTTGATAAGTAGGTCGTCAGATAGTCGGCTGATATGTGAGCGAGACTCCATGTGTAAACTCCAACCACAACGACAGAACGGTTGAGAAAATTGCTGGGACTAAAAGCCTTGCGAGGCAAACAGGTCTGGTGACAGCCGGATGCCTTGCAACGGGAAGCTACTTCATGTCTGAGGCCCTGCTCATCCTCATGTGGATTTCAATAATCAAGACTCACAAGAACCCACTCATGAGCATCTCTAGAGAAGAGGAGAATGGCAGGATACGGTAGCTTGCTTCCAGTCATGATGGTGAGGAGTGATGTAATCCGTCAGTCAGCTACCAGAAAACGTTCAAGGCAATCCTTGCGAGCCGGCTGGTGGTGAAAACACATCACGATCACAATTCAGGACCCGTTCTTGTCCTGCTGTTTAGCTAGCCAGCCAACTCGATGGGATTGGATGAGGTTCTCTTGAGAACTCATGAGCATGTTGTTTCGTAGGGCTGAAGTCTCGCGTTCGCTTTAGTCTCACGTCACGCCCGTATATAAATCAGAGAAATTGTCGCCTTCGCCTGCTGTATCAGGAAATTTACACTACAGCGATTAATTCCTCAAACATATGAACAAGGACAACAAATCCCTATTGTTGCCACAAACAGCAGGAGCACAACAGCTTCACAAAAGGTGACCAAAGTATGTGGGGCCCTCGCCAGAGTGAGGATCAGTCACAGAGCATTCTTACGGCAAAATACGTCACATCTTTTTCCGCAAACACCAGAACACGACATACGCTTGCTCTGACCACATATCAGGATTACGGAGACATCATAGAGGCTGCAATGCTCTTATTGATTGTAAACAAGACACGTTGACCGAAAAAGGTCGCACCATCCGGCATCATGTTATGCCGGCGCCACGATCTGGTGCTCCAAGGGCAGCAGCGAGCCAGCTGGCAGAGGCCCCGGCCGAGTGACGTAGTCCGTTGGATCCATCAGCTTGACGCCATCTGAGCCGTTCAACACCCACTTTGGTTTTTCCTGGAGAAGAGGGTTCAGAGAGGCAGGAGAGGAGATACAACAGACAGGTGGGGGGTGCATAGGAGGGAAACTAGGTGGATCATGCATCCTACCATGGCTACGCTGGGACGATTTCCCAGTCACACTGAAGAGTTGACTTTTGAGTCGACTCAAAAGTCAACCTGCATTCTACCATGGCTACAATGGGGCGATTTCCCAGTCACACTGTAGAGGTGGCTTTTGAGTCGACTCAAAAGTCAAGTTGCATTCTACCATGGCTATGATGGTACGATTTCCCAGTCACACTGAAGAGTTGACTTCTGAGTCAATTCAAAATTCAACTTTCATTCTACCATGGCTACGATGGGGCGATTTCCCAGTCACACTGAAGAGTTGACTTCTGAGTCAATTCAAAATTCAACTTTCTTTCTACCATGGCTACGATGGGGCGATTTCCCAGTCACACTGAAGAGACTGTCCATATGCACAAATCTATAATGTATACACACACACAAATGTATAATGTATACACACACACAAATGTATAATGTATACACACACACAAATGCTCCCCCACTCAACACAACCACACGCACCATCCACGTCTTGCCAATCAGGTTGTAGAGACTGTAAGCCAGCACCCCATCTAGATTTAACCTTTCGCCCGTGACTAAATCAAATGCAATCAGTCACACACACACAGACTCACCTTCCACGTCTTTCCAATTAAGTTGTAGAGACTGTAAGCTGGCACCCCATCTAGCTTCAACCTCTCCCCTGTGACTGTATTGAACGCCACTGTTCCCGATGCTCCCTCGAACCGCCCGCAACCGGCCGGCTGGTTTCGGAAGCATTCGAGCACGGCTTGTGCGGTTACCGCCCGGTTTTGGACGGCTATGATGTTCTGAAACGCCTCGAAGAAGGCCCAGATGGAGTCGATCAGATGCGCCACATATAAGCGCGTCTCGTTATACTGTAGGGGGGGTTGGGGGGGGAAATAGCGATTCATTAGCTTTTAATTTGGAGGATATTTTCGGTTTGAAAAGTCAGAGAGGAAAGGGAGGGAGGGTGGGTGAGTGGGGAGAGAAAGGGAGAGTGGGGAGATGAGAGAGTGATCCCACACAATGCATTTCCTGACCTTTGGCGTGGTCGGTGCATTAATGAGCCCAACATAATCGTCTGCGGCTTGCTGCTTCCAGTGATCCGTGAACAGAACACAGGTTGGGGGTTCAGTCGACTCAAACAGCATCAGATTACCGTCAGCACTCACTTACCTTTGGTGTGGTTGGTGCGTTGATCAGCCCCATATAGTCGTCTGCAGCTTGCTGCTTCCAGTGGTTCGTAAATGGACGCAGGTTGGGACTCTCAAACGGCGCTGCGTAGGAGGAGGGCGAGAAGGGAGAGGAGAGAAAGGAGATAAAAAGGGGTGAGTTTGTGTGGGCGTTGTGTGCTGGTCGTTCACTCATAAGAGGGAAATAACAGTTTTGAGTGGATCTAATAATTGCCGAGACAGCTGTGTGCGTGCCTGTCACAGAAACAGAACTGTGATAAGACATGCCTTCTGAAGCGCCCCAAAAGACATGCATTCTTCACGCTCCAAAATAAAAAAAAACTCCAGATAGATTAGTCTGGACGCGTCAGAAATATAACAACTAGTTAACAGTCTGAATGCAAAAACGATAGCTATTCTAAATGCACGTTACCAACTCTCCTACATGACACGGGCTGTTTGCACTTACTGTTAGGGCCGATCGCCATCTCTCCTTGCAAAGGCCGGGCCATACCTCCTAGCCTCTCCCCAGCTGTGAGGGGGAGGAGGCATGGGGAGAGGGAGATGCAAGAGGGAGGTACGAGAGGGAGGTGTGAAAGGGAGGTAAAAATTAGAGGGGGTCCTGGGAAAATAAAGGGGGTGTTGAATTTCACATACGGACTCTCACTTGTTGAGAAACGGCGACAAAAGACAGACAGAAGGGGAGCGAAATAAACGGATTGCTAAAGACGGGGAAGTGGAATATAAAATGGGGAATGGGAAAGGAGGACGGGAGGGGCGGGTCAAGTAGTACTACTTGTTTTGGCTTGCTATGTCCTGGATATTGCTTCAGAGATTTTTTCAACAGACATAGTTGGAGTCATAAATTGACCCACCATTGAGTGCATGAGTGAGTGCATGAGTGAGTGCATGAGTGAGTGCATGAGGGAGTGCATGAGTGAGTGCATGAGTGAGTGCATGAGTGAGTGCATGAGTGAGTGCATGAGTGAGTGCATGAGTGAGTGCATGGAGTGAGTGCATGAGTGAGTGCATGAGTGAGTGCATGAGTGAGTGCATGAGTGAGTGCATGAGTGAGTGCATGAGTGAGTGCATGAGTGAGTGCATGAGTGAGTGCATGAGTGAGTGCATGAGTGAGTGCATGAGTGAGTGCATGAGTGAGTGCATGAGTGAGTGCATGAGTGAGTGCATGAGTGAGTGCATGAGTGAGTGCATGAGTGAGTGCATGAGTGAGTGCATGAGTGAGTGCATGAGTGAGTGCATGAGTGAGTGCATGAGTGAGTGCATGAGTGAGTGCATGAGTGAGTGCATGAGTGAGTGCATGAGTGAGTGCATGAGTGAGTGCATGAGTGAGTGCATGAGTGAGTGCATGAGTGAGTGCATGAGTGAGTGCATGAGTGAGTGCATGAGTGGAGTGGCATGAGTGAGTGCATGAGTGAGTGCATGAGTGAGTTGCACATGAAGTGAGTGCATGAGTGAGTGCATGAGTGAGTGCATGAGTGAGTGCATGAGTGAGTGCATGAGTGAGTGCATGAGTGAGTGCATGAGTGAGTGCATGAGTGAGTGCATGAGTGAGTGCATGAGTGAGTGCATGAGTGAGTGCATGAGTGAGTGCATGAGTGAGATGCATGAGTGAGTGCATGAGTGAGTGCATGAGTGAGTGCATGAGTGAGTGCATGAGTGAGTGCAATGAGTGAGTGCATGAGTGAGTGCATGAGTGAGTGCATGAGTGATGTGCATGAGTGAGTGCATGAGTGAGTGCATGAGTGAGTGCATGAGTGAGTGCATGAGTGAGTGGCATGAGTGAGTGCATGAGTTGAGTGCATGAGTGAGTGCATGAGTGAGTGCATGAGTGAGTGCATGAGTGAGTGCATGAGTGAGTGCATGAGTGAGTGCATGAGTGAGTGCATGAGTGAGTGCATGAGTGAGTGCATGAGTGAGTGCATGAGTGAGTGCATGAGTGAGTGCATGAGTGAGTGCATGAGTGAGTGCATGAGTGAGTGCATGAGTGAGTGCATGAGTGAGTGCATGAGTGAGTGCATGAGTGAGTGCATGAGTGAGTGCATGAGTGAGTGCATGAGTGAGTGCATGAGTGAGTGCATGAGTGAGTGCATGAGTGAGTGCATGAGTGAGTGCATGAGTGAGTGCATGAGTGAGTGCATGAGTGAGTGCATGAGTGAGTGCATGAGTGAGTGCATGAGTGAGTGCATGAGTGAGTGCATGAGTGAGTGCATGAGTGAGTGCATGAGTGAGTGCATGAGTGAGTGCATGAGTGAGTGCATGAGTGAGTGCATGAGTGAGTGCATGAGTGAGTGCATGAGTGAGTGCATGAGTGAGTGCATGAGTGAGTGCATGAGTGAGTGCATGAGTGAGTGCATGAGTGAGTGCATGAGTGAGTGCATGAGTGAGTGCATGAGTGAGTGCATGAGTGAGTGCATGAGTGAGTGCATGAGTGAGTGCATGAGTGAGTGCATGAGTGAGTGCATGAGTAGTGCATGAGTGAGTGCATGAGTGAGTGCATGAGTGAGTGCATGAGTGAGTGCATGAGTGAGTGCATGAGTGAGTGCATGAGTGAGTGCATGAGTGAGTGCATGAGTGAGTGCATGAGTGAGTGCATGAGTGAGTGCATGAGTGAGTGCATGAGTGAGTGCATGAGTGAGTGCATGAGTGAGTGCATGAGTGAGTGCATGAGTGAGTGCATGAGTGAGTGCATGAGTGAGTGCATGAGTGAGTGCATGAGTGAGTGCATGATCCGTGCTGAGCTGGACGGCTCGCTCATCCCCGTCAGCACCGTCCCCGTCAGCTACCCCGTGGACGAGTTTGTGCCGCTCTTTGCTGATGTGGCGGTCGGGGAGAGGTCCATTTGCGTGCTCGCCACCCTACCAGCTGTTGCGGAGGGATTCTGGCGGGCGGCAATTCGGGAGGTGAGTAAGGCCCCTCCTTCTTCTCCCCTCCCCTCCTTCCCCTTCCTTCTCCTCAGGTTTTCTTTCTTCCCCTCCCCTCCCCTCTCCCCTCCTGGTGGTACCTGGGTGGAATGTCGTTTATTCTCTCTCAACCTTTGTGTTACCTTCTGCCCTTCTGTCCTCTCCACCTCGCCCCCTTCACCCTTTAACTTCACTTCACCGTCTACTTCTGGTCCCTTGGAAACTAGTGATGCCTTTTTCCCCTCAACGTTGTTCTTTTCGTTCCTCTCCGCTCTTCTCCCCGTCGCCTCAGAACTTCACTAGCTACCCTTGGTGGTACCTGGGGACCGATGGCGTGGCAGCTCTTGACTTCGTTGACCAGTGTGAGTACTCAGTTTCTCACTCTCTCGCTCAATTTGTCGCTCACTTGCTCACTTGTCAAGTCGCACATGAGAACTTCACCAGCTACCCCTAGTGGTACCTGGGGACTGATGGTGTGGCAGCTCTTGACTTCGTTGACCAATGTGAGCTTGCTCTCTCCTTCAAAATTTCAGCCTCTCACTCGCTCACTGACAGACACTCATGCACTCACTCATGCACTCACTCATGCACTCACTCATGCACTCACTCATGCACTCACTCATGCACTCACTCATGCACTCACTCATGCACTCACTCATGCACTCACTCATGCACTCACTCATGCACTCACTCATGCACTCACTCATGCACTCACTCATGCACTCACTCATGCACTCACTCATGCACTCACTCATGCACTCACTCATGCACTCACTCATGCACTCACTCATGCACTCACTCATGCACTCACTCATGCACTCACTCATGCACTCACTCATGCACTCACTCATGCACTCACTCATGCACTCACTCATGCACTCACTCATGCACTCACTCATGCACTCACTCATGCACTCACTCATGCACTCATGCACTCACTCATGCACTCACTCATGCACTCACTCATGCACTCACTCATGCACTCACTCATGCACTCACTCATGCACTCACTCATGCACTCACTCATGCACTCACTCATGCACTCACTCATGCACTCACTCATGCACTCACTCATGCGCTCACTCATGCGCTCACTCATGCGCTCACTCATGCGCTCACTCATGCGCTCACTCATGCGCTCACTCATGCGCTCACTCATGCGCTCACTCATGCGCTCACTCATGCGCTCACTCATGCGCTCACTCATGCGCTCACTCATGCGCTCACTCATGCGCTCACTCATGCGCTCACTCATGCGCTCACTCATGCGCTCACTCATGCGCTCACTCATGCGCTCACTCATGCGCTCACTCATGCGCTCACTCATGCGCTCACTCATGCACTCACTCATGCACTCACTCATGCACTCACTCATGCACTCACTCATGCACTCACTCATGCACTCACTCATGCACTCACTCATGCACTCACTCATGCACTCACTCATGCACTCACTCATGCACTCACTCATGCACTCACTCATGCGCTCACTCATGCACTCACTCATGCACTCACTCATGCACTCACTCATGCACTCACTCATGCACTCACTCATGCACTCACTCATGCACTCACTCATGCACTCACTCATGCACTCACTCATGCACTCACTCATGCACTCACTCATGCACTCACTCATGCACTCACTCATGCACTCACTCATGCACTCACTCATGCACTCACTCATGCACTCACTCATGCACTCACTCATGCACTCACTCATGCACTCACTCATGCACTCACTCATGCACTCACTCATGCACTCACTCATGCACTCACTCATGCACTCACTCATGCACTCACTCATGCACTCACTCATGCACTCACTCATGCACTCACTCATGCACTCACTCATGCACTCACTCATGCACTCACTCATGCACTCACTCATGCACTCACTCATGCACTCACTCATGCACTCACTCATGCACTCACTCATGCACTCACTCATGCACTCACTCATGCACTCACTCATGCACTCACTCATGCACTCACTCATGCACTCACTCATGCACTCACTCATGCACTCACTCATGCACTCACTCATGCACTCACTCATGCACTCACTCATGCACTCACTCACACTGTTCTAAAGAACGTGTTGTAATCCGGGGTGTTGAACACACCAGCCGTGGGCTGTGGGGGGAGGAGACCCTCCCTCAAGACAGCAACAGCAACCTCTCCAGCCTACTGACACTGTTCTGAAGAACGTGCTGTAATCCGGGGTGTTGAATACATCAGCAGTAGCAGCAAACGACACGAAAGCAACAACAGAACCCATTCACGCCCATTCACACCCGCTTATACCCACTCACACTGTTCTGAAGAACGTGTTGTAATCCGGGGTGTTGAACACATCAGCAGTAGCAGCAAACGACACGTAGGGAATGCCCTTGGGCTGTAGCACGGAGTTGGCTCCCCTCACTGCCTCGGAGCACGCCGGCCCCACCACCCCCACCACGTTCATCAGGTCTAGACGCTGGGAGAAGGAGGGGGGAAGGGGGGAGAGGGGAGGGGGAGAGTATGTGGTGAGTACGGGGTATATGGGGGGTACGGGGTTGGCTCCCCACACAGCCTCGGAGCATGCCGGTCCCACCATCCCCACCACGTTCATCAGGTCTAGACGCTGGGAGAACAGGGGAAGGGAGAAGGGAGGGAATAGGAAGAGCACGGGGTTCGCTCCCCTCACTGCCTCCAAGCAGGAAGGTCCCACCACGTTCATTAAGTCTAGACGCTGAACGGGTAGGCGAAGGGATAAAGGAGGGGACGGGAGGGCATGAGGGAATGGGAGGGAATGAGGGAATGGGGGGGCATGAGGGAATGAGAGGGCAGGAGAGAATGGGAGGGCATGAGGGAATGGGAGGGCAGGAGGGAATGGGAGGGCAGGAGGGAATGGGAGAGAGGAACAGTGGGCAGTGAGGGGAGGGGTTGAGGCAGCGGAGGAATCATGGAGTTGGCTCCCTCCACAGTAGTCGGGACGAACCTCACTCAAAAAGTTGTAACCTAAAAGCTAACAACTAACAAATAAGGTGCAACCTTTTTCCAACGCCCCCTTCTCCACCCCTTTCCCCCTGTTGCTCCCCCTTTCCCATTTGAAGTCAATCTTACCTCTGCTGCCACTGCTGCATCCTCGCTATTGCACGGCACCACCTCCACCACTGGCATGACATTAAAAGTTGCATTATAACGGGGCCCGAGCACGTCCAGCGCCACCCTTGTAGCGGACATCCTAACAGCGCGTACAAAAGAGAGGGATGAGTTGATGCGGGAGGGTAAGGGCCAAGAGCTCCTTCCTTTGTGAATGGAAGAAGGTACGGAGAGGAAGTATGCGGGATGGGGAGGGAGAGATGATTCAAGAGGCGCTTTGAAAAGAGCTACCGGTTCCTCGCTTTGCAAATGGAGGGAGACGCGGAGGTGAGACGGCGGGATGGGGAGGGAGAGATGATTCAAGAGGCGCTTTGAAAAGAGCTACCAGCTCCTAGCTTTGCGAATGGAGGTAGACACACGAAGGGGAGGTGGCGGGAGGGGGGGAGAGAGATGAAGGGGACATCAAGAGGGGTGTTGGGTGAAAAGCAAGAAGGGTGAGTGAGTAGAGGTGAGAGAGTGAGAGCAGGGTGGGAGAAGGAGAGGAAGGTGAGTGAGAGGAGTGTGAGTAAGAGGAGTGTGACAGTAACGAGCGTAACTCACCATTCGTCCGCCAGCCGTTTGGTGATGCCGATGTTGACTTCGGGACTCGGGAGAATAAAGCCGAGCCGCAGATACTGCACCGGCAGCGCGTCGCACGGCCGGCAGCAGATGCTGCTAAGTAGTAGCAGACCTAAGAGTGGGCCTACTTTAGCAGGGATATTTCCCGCGTGGCGTATGGCCCGCCTAATAGTTCCCATCGAAGCCGTGAGGTGCGTAGTGGATTCGAATTTAGGGTGTGATTGTTCGGGTGAGTGCTAGCGGGTTATGGAATGTTCCTGTAACGGGGGGTCTCTGATTGTAACTGGTCAACGTGACTGTAACGGGCAGTGGTGATTTAAGCAATTACAACTCTATGACAGGTAGCTTGTAAATAGCGGTTCGCGTTCTGAGGAGCCTGAGCAGCGGCTAGCCGACTCAACCGGTAGAGCTGACGTGTCAGGGGGTCCTGCGGGGCTAAAGGACGTTACTCCAAACGGAGGTGACTTTTTGAGTAAATTTGAAAGTTCCACGTCAATAAGAGCCGTTACTGCTCTGTAACTTGACAGCCTTCGAAGTCGATTCGAAAGTTCCACGTCGATGAGAGCCGTTACTGCTCTAACTTGCTAACTTGACAGACTTTGGAGAGAGATAGCTGCGAGGCTATGGTGTTACGAATAATATCAGGAAAGGGAAACCAGTATGGATGTAAAGTTGATCCCACTGTTGTTGCGTGTGATGACAGGGACACACGATGTCGTCAACGCCACGTGCTGTCCTGTCGGCGCGTCAAAGGCAACCAGGTAAGACTGTATTCATTGCATCACTTCGCTTTACACGACGCGTGCCTACATGGCACTGAAAAGGACGCAAGTGGCATTTTGTCCGCTTACCGCGACTGGAAACGGACCGCCTCGCTGACTCACAGAGAGTAAAACAAAATAATCCGAGAAATAAATCAGGTGGGATGGCAATTATGGACGGTGCGAGGGAAGGTGTTTCGCAAGAGACGGTGTTCCTAATTTTCGCAAGAAATTAGGAACCTAGCAGAGAAACACCTCTGACAACGTCGGTGGCATACGCGCCGTCGATCTCCTCCCCTGGGGTCTCCCTAGAAACATCCCAAGGGTTTCCGGCTCGGCCGTACCTCACTTGCAAGCCGCACACAAACCCACTGTATCCCACTGGGAAACTCGAACCTGAACCAGGTTTCCGCGAGCCGCGTGTCGGCAGGCTCTCCAAATTTCTTGGCGGGAAGAGCTCGCAGCGCGGGTGCATGAAACTTTACTTCAGTAAGCTAATATCACTACTAAATCAGAAAGTCGCACTACCCGAGTAATATGGACTGCCATGTATAAGAAATTGTTGGAAACAATTACTGCCACTATCTGTTCCCCAATAATGCCAAGTCCGAAGAAATCTAATAAAATACTCACTCTATTTCCCTACTGTCCTGCTCCCATTGTCAAAAGCTCAAGCTACAATACACTGTCGATTTTCCTATCCCATCTTGTTCTGTATTTGCCGGTGCACGTACACCAAAAACTCCACGTAGGACATCCCCGACGGCGAACGGTCCTCGACCAGCGTTTGAAAGAAAAGATTCTCTGATGTGAGACATGGGATGAAAGGCGTCAAACGTACACAAATAAAGCGTTGCACAATAAGGAAGTGTTACTGCTCTGGACGGATGGTAAGGCCAGTGAGGCGATGAGTAAGAACGAAGAGACACAAAAGGGAGGAAAGCCGCACAAGAAACAGTCTTATATATATGACCTTTAATGTTAAAGGAATGCAATCTCATACCTGATGGATCACCTCTCTTGAGAAGCCGAAGCCTGCAGGTTTGGTTAAAGGATGTGGGGGGGAAGGGAGATTAGTGCGTGTGTGGGGGATGGGGAAGAGGAAAGAGGGGAGGGGGGAGAGGGGATGGGGGAGAGGGGAGGGGGGGTCAGGTGGAGCTGGGTGTGGGTGTGGGTGTGCGTGTGGGTGTGGTTGCAGTGGGTGTGGGTGGGTACGTGAAAACGCCGAAGAGGTTGGGGGCCAAAACAGTGTGATTCATGGCAGAAGAGTGACAGAAACGAAACAACTCGGAGGCAACACCTTCTATTTCCCCTCCCATCTAACCTTAACCTGTTCTGTTAGCATCGATCCTCCCTACAAGCCTCTCCACACCACTTGTAAGTCTCCCATAGGTTCATATGCGCTTCCCATACCCTTACAACCCTCCCATACCCTTACGAGCCTCCTATACCCCTTATAAGCCTCCCATACTCTTTGTAAGCCGCTCACCTGAGGTACGAGCACCGCTGGCGACGAATCTCGTTCACAATGGCGTTGAGCTTGCGCGATGCAGGGTTGTCAAACTCTTGCAGCAGGAACTGTGGGATGGGCAGGATGGAAGGTTGACGTGAAGGAGCAGGAAAGAGAGGTGAAACGGGGGAGACTAGGAGAAGAGGAGAGAGGAGGTGGAAGGGGGGAGATTAGGGGCATACGAGAGAGGTGGAAGGGGGGGGTAGTAGGAGAAGACGAGAGAGGAGATGGAAGGGGCGATCCAGTTCAGAAGGACATTCAGCTTGAGTGATGCAGGGTTGTCAAACTCTTGCAGCCAGTCAAGAAAGTCAACCCAAGTCAAGTGACAAGCGGGGCAAGAGCAGGTGGCAGGCGCGGGGACTCACGGGGCCGGGAGCGATTTCATCGACAGTACGCAACCCAGAGGGGTTAAACAGGTCCAAGGGAAGCCATGCTACTGAATCCAGTCAATTGGGTCAAGCAAGTCAACCCAAGTCAAGCGGGTCAAGAGGTGCCACGCCACTCACGGGGCCGGGAGCGATTTCATCAACGGATCGCAGGCCGAAGAGGTCAAAGAGCAGATGGCTGTCCGCCTCCCTGCCCACCCACACCACCGCCTCCTCCCCGTTCTCCACCAAAAACACTCCATCCGGCTCGAGCTTTTCACTGGAGAGGGGGAGAGCAGAGGGCAGGTGCTCATGCTGCTGCTCCTCCTCTGTCCCGTTCTGCTGCTCCTGAGTTGTGGGAAGACGCAGGTCAAAGCAAGAGAGAAAATTAAAACACTTGAGCACACCCACACCACGGCCTCCTCCCCGTTCTCCTCCAGATACACCCCGTCCGACTCCAGCTTCTCGCTTGAGAGAGGCAGGGCGGACGGCAGGGTGTGATAAGTCGAGATTTGAGTCGACTCAAAACTCTAGAGGGGCAGGGCGGACGGCAGGGGAAATCAAGAGGGAAAGAAGTTAAGAGCAGAGGAGGTGGTGCAGGGCGAAGAGGCGCGGGAAGGCAAGAGGCATGCAGAGCGAGCAGAGAGGCGTGCAGAGCAAGCAGAGAGGCGTGCAGAGCGGTGCAGGAGGAGGTGACATGATGTGCAGAGCGGTGGAGCGAGGCGTCATTTACCTGGCTGGCTGCGTCCTTCAAGAGGTGGTGCAGGGCGAAGAGGCGCGGGTAGACGAGAGGAATGCAGAGTGAGGCAGAGAGGGATGCAGGGCGAGGTGTCAACAGTTGCAGGGTGGTGTAGATAAGTACACTCAGTAGTGAATGAACCTTACCTGGTTCGCTGCTTTCTTCAGGAGGTGGTGCAGGGCAAAAATGCGTGGGTAGGCGAAAGGCACACAGAGCGAGGCAGAGTGGTGCAGAGCGGTGCAGGGGGAGGGGACAAAAGGTGCAGAGTGGTGGACAGCGGTGCAGAGATGCCCACCTGATTCGCTGCGTCCTTGAGGAGGTGGAGTAGGGCGAAGAGGCGCGGGTAAATGAGAGGCACACAGAGCAAGGCGGACAGTGGAGAGAGGTAACCGGTAGGAGAGGTGACAGGAGGTGCAGAGTGGCAGAGAGAGAGGTGTAGAGATGCTCATATGGTTGGCAGCATCCTTGAGAAGGGGGTGCAGAGCGACTAGGAGAGGGTAGACGAGAGGCACACAGAGCGAGGCAGAGAGGGATGCAGAATGGCGCAGGAGGAGGTGACAAGAGGTGCAGAGCGGTGCAGCAAGGCGTGTTAAGTGAACCTTACCTGGTTCGCTGCATCCTTCAAGAGGTGGTGCAGGGCGAAGAGGCGCGGGTAGACCAAGGGCACACAGAGCGAGGCAGCGAGGGGCCGCACTCTCGCCAGCCAGGCGGAGCGCTCGTCCACCTTCACGTCTCCTCTGAGGCCCTGCGACTTGAGGAGGGCTGGGGGCGAGAGAGGGGAAGGAGACAGCAGGTGAGGGATAGGGTCGATGGGGAGGGGATAGGCAGGGCACAGCTCACTCTGGCGAGCCAGGCGGAGCGCTCGTCCACCTTCACGTCTCCTCTGAGGCCCTGTGACTTGAGGAGTGCTGGGGGGCGGGGAGAGGGGCAAAAAGTGGGGGAAGAGGGATAGGGTCGATGGGGAGGGAATGGGCAGGGCACAGCACAGCGCACTCTGGTCAGCCAGGCCGACTGCTCGTCCACCTTCACGTCTCCCCTCAGGCCCTGCGACTTGAGGAGCGCTGTGGTGTTAAGGGAGGGGAGGAGAGGTTGATAGAGAGAGCATAGCAGAGGAGAATGGGCGAGAGGCACACCGAGCGCGGCAGAGAGGGGCCGCACTCTGGCAGGCCAGGCAGATCGTTCGTCCACCTTCACGTCTCCCCTCAGGCCCTGCGACTTGAGGAGTGCTGGGTTTGAGGGAGGGGGGACGGGGGACGGGGGATGGGGAGCGCTGGGACGATGGGATGAGAGGGATAGGGACGATGGGGAGGGGAATGGGCAGGGAGCAGATCATTCTTGCCAGCCAGCCAGAGCGCTCGTCCACCTTCACAGAGGAAGATAGGGGATACCTTACTCATACCACCGCCACTTGCGGTAGGTGTGGCGGATGGAGGGGCCGAGGCAAGGCGTTTAAGGATAATTCATTCAAGTGCCCATCTGCCACACTCCCACCACTCACCGAGGGTGTACAAGGGAAGCACCTTGAGCACCTCTGGTAATATGACCTGGCCAGAAGATGAGGTAGTGGCGACTTTTGAGTCGACTCAAAAGTCACCTCGTTACAATGGCACACGAAACATTTTGGGTCGACTCAAAAGCCACCTCGTTACAATGGCACACGACACATTTTGAGTCGACTAAAAAGTCACCTCTGGTAATATGACCTGGCCAGAAGATGAGGTAGTGGCACAGAACTTGCGGTAGGTGTAGAGAATAGAATGGAAGGACTGAGGCAAGGCGCTTAAGGATACTTCACTCAACCACACTACCACCACTCATCCAGGGTGTACAACGGCAGCACCTTGAGTGCTTCTGGCAAGATAAGTTGCCCGGAAGATGAGGCAGTGGCACAGAACTTGCGGTAGGTGTAGAGAATGCTCATTGCCGTCTGCACTGCAGCTGCGTACTGCTTGTGGTGTGCCTGCATCTTGCATACTTAGACGGCTCTACTCACCCCCACTGCACCACTCACCCAGAGTGTAGAGAGGCAGAAGTTTGAGGGCCTCTGGTAAGATAAGTTGCCCGGAAGAAGAAGCAGTGGCACAGAACTTGCGGTAGGTGTAGAGAATGCTCACTGCTGTCTGCACTGCTGCGTCTCGCACTGGCTGCACTGGGTGGGTTACCACATCCGCAGCAGCTGTAGGGGGGAGAGGAGAAGAGGTTGAAGGGGGATGGGGAGAGCAAAAGGATAAACAGAACTTGCGGTAGGTGTAGAGAATGCTCACTGCTGTCTGCACTGCTGCGTCTCACACTGGCTGCACCAGATGGGTTACCACGTCCGCAGCAGCTGTAGGAGAGGCGGGGGGAGGGGGAGGAAGAGGGAGAGAGTGAAAGAATGACAGAAGTTGAAGCGGTAGGTGTGGAGAATGCTCACTTCCGTCTGCACTGCTGCATCCTGCAGTTGCACCGGGTGGTCTACTTACCACGTCCATAACAGCTATAGGAGGGAGAGGAGAGTTGGGGGACGGAAGGAACAGGAAACGGAATGCTCACTGCTCATTGCTCACTGCCGTCCGCACTGCTTGTCAGCAGCTGTATCGGGGTGCGAAAGGGGGAAAGCGAAGGGTGCAGGAACCAGCAGTCTTGGGCACGTACGCGAATTGGTTGCCCGGTCAGCCCCACGGAACACAGAGGCTAGCAATAGAAGGCAGCGAGATGGTGTGCTTACAAACACCTCTAAACCCCTTCACAACCCACTAGTGTTGCACATGCAGCCACAACCCACCTGTCTTGAGCATGTACGCAATTTGCGTGTCCAGATCAGCCCCACGGAACACGGAAGCAAAGCGATGCGGTGTGCGGGGAGGGGGGAGGGAGGAGAGCGTGTGCACTCAAGAGACGCACACTCTTATCTGCACCAAGGGGCATTGAGCATGCACCAGCGACTCACCTGTCTTGAGCATGTATGCGAATTGCGCGTCCAGATCGGCCCCTCGGAACACAGAGGCCAAAGAGGCAGTGGTGGGCAGCGAGAGGGTGTGCACTCGCACACGCCTCTCCCCCGTGGTAGTGGTGTAGAGAATGGCGCACTGCAGAGGGAGGGGTAAGTGAGAATAAGTTAGAGGGGAAAAAAACAAAACTTAGACGTGGGAAGCAGGAGTAGTGGTGGGCAAGAAAGACCAACACGGGAACAACAGAGGCCCACCTGAGAGCAACAGAGACCCACCTGAGAGCAACAGAGACCCACCTGAAAGCAACAGAGGCCCACCTGAAAGCAGGCTTCGCTGTTCTCTGCGAGTTTCTCATCATGCTTGATGGTTGCCATGATGGCCTTGTCACTGTCCATCTGCAGGGGGATGATTGTAGGGGGTGTGAGTGTAGGGGGGTGATTGCATGAGTGTTGAAACAATACAAGGTGGAGAGAGACAGGAAGCATGCTTCTCTGTTCTCTGCGAGCTTCTCCTCGTGCTTGATGGTTGCCATGATGGCCTAGTCGCTGTCCATCTGGGTGTGGTTAAAAAGGGAGGGAGAAGTGTGATTGTATGAGAGTGATTAGAGGAGGATGTGACAACACAGGTTGAGAGCAGGAACGGCTTGATGGTTGCCATGATGGCCTTGTCGCTGTCCATCTGGGTGTGGTTAAAGGGGAGTAAGGGTGCCCGGGAAGGGGGAGGGGGAAGGGCAGGGAAGGGGGAGGGGGAAGGGGGGGGAAGGGAAGGAAGGGAGAGAGGGTACTAATGTGGTGACACGCCTAACAGTGTGTTTAATGGTTTCCATAATGATCTTGTCGCTGTCCATTAAAATGTGATTATACGCATGTGATTGAATGAGCGTGATTATAAGAGCACGTGACGATACAGGGTGGGGCCAGGACGGGCAGCAAGGGTCGTCCTTGTGAAAGTCCAAAAGCTCAAAGAAGCAGAAAGATCCAAACGTAACAGAATCTAAGTGGTGAAATACGCTTTTGCCTTTAAGCGTATAGCGTTTATCCGCTTGCGTATACACGCAAAACGCTATACGCTAGCAAATACGCTATACGCTTGGGAGTTTTTTTCTGGGCAGCCCAAGGTGAAAATTTTCGGGAATATATAGAAATCTGCCGTTTTCCACGGCGATCATTTCGCGGTGGTCGAAATGCTCATCGGAGATCTAGGGTAGCGGGAATGTAACTTCAATGTTTGGATTCAGGTTGGAGTTGCAATTTCGAATTTCAGGGTTCCACCTCTTTGAACCGAAACCAATCTACGAACTCCAACCTTTCCAGTACGTCCCCTCCAACACATCGTTTCTCGTCAGATCTACTTCACGTTCCCTCCCCCATCCGTCCATTCCACCTAGTCGCTCACTCCTCCTAGTATCCTACGCGATAATTTCTACTGCAATTCCTAACCCGCCATCTGATCTCACACAGGATAACAATAGGCCACGTCCTCTTCGTGAGGTTAGGGAGTACCTTCCCGATGTTGAGCACAAAGTCTTTAAGCATTTCGCGTCATAGGGGAAAAAATGAACCTGAGACACAACCTCCGTGAATCCCCCCTGTGAACTATACCTAGGGTGTTTTTTTCACCCTGCCCGGGTTTTTTTTACCCTGCCCGAAAAAGCGTATTCCTGGATTCGGGACCTTAGCGTATAGCGTATAAACGCATGCGTATATACGACACGCGTATATACGCTATACGCGTATTTCGCCACTTAGAACAGAATGACTTTTGAGGAGCCTCAAAAGATCCCCACATAATAAATTGCCCGAAACAACTCAGAGGGACGCACCGCTGGCAGATATATTTCGGCAGGGATGCGGCGGTGAAAGTTGCCAAAGTAATCGGACACAGACAGGCCCTGCAGAGAGGGCGCGGGAGAGAAGTGGGAAGGGACGCGGACAGATTCATATTGTTGACCTGCCTAACGAATTATCTGCAGGGATGTGGTGATGGAAGTTGCCAAAGTTATCAATAATACCAAACTAGTCTGCAGGGATGCAGTGATGGAAGTTGCAGAAGTCGTCAGACACCTGAGCCCACCTGCCTGCTCTGTTGTCTCCACCTGAGCCACCTGCCTGCTCTGTTGTCTCCACCTGGCTGCACCGCACTTTCATGACCCCTTCAAACGCGTGCGGCCTTCTCATGGCCCCGTCTGTTGTTTTCACCTGAGATCTCACCTGTCTGGTCTGTTGTTCTCACCTGGCTGCACCGCACTTTCATAACCCCTTCGAACGTGTGCGGCCGTCTCACAGCCCAGCGCAGGTCATTATGCAGTTTACCCCCGTCATGCGCTGCACTGAAGGGGTAGTAGCTGTAGAGCTGGGGGGAGAGCGGTGGGGAGGTTTATGGGGAGGTGAAAGAAGGTATGGGAAGTGTGTGAGAAGAGGTTCTCGATGGGTTGAAGGGCCGTCTCACAGCCCAGCACAGGTCGTTATGCAGTTTACCCCCGTCGTTCGCCGCACTGAAGGGGTAGTAGCTGTAGAGCTGGTGAACAGTGGGGAGAGGTGGGGGGGGTGGACAGGTGTATCGGAGCATGGGAGGTTCATGAAAAGGGGATATATCAGGAAGCAGGTCGCCTCGCAGCCCATAGCAGGCCGCTGAGCAACTTACCCCCATCATGCGCCACACTGAAGGGATAGTAGCTGTAGAGCTGGGGCGAGGGGCGAGGAGGGGGCGTGTGCGGAGGCTGGAAAGAGAGAAAAGTGAGTGAGAGGAGGAAGGTTCGTCTGACAGCCCAGCGTAAGTTGTTGTGCAGCTTGCCCGCATCGTATGCAGTGAGGTGTATTTTGAGGCGCCTCAAAATACACCTCACTGCACGCGCATCGTATGCCTGCCACACACACACGGATTGCACGGCCTCACCTGCCTGCCTGTGATTCTGGGAATGACAGCGATCGAGGCTGCATCGGCAAACCCCTGAGTCGTTAAGAACACATCCACCGACAATTGGAAACCTGCCATGTGTAGTGAGTCGATTTTTGAGTCGACTCAAAAATTGGAAATCCGCCATTTCCTCGCACGCTCACTCACCAGCCGCACAAAATTGCAAGCCATGCCGCACCCTCACCTGTCCGCCGGTGATCCTGGGAATGACAGCGATGGAAGCCACATCGGTAAATCCCTGCGAGGTCAGAAACACGTCAACCGCCACTTGGAAATCCGCCATTTCCTCCGCCATTGGCCTCAGCTGCTTGTCGTTTGGCTGCAGCAGCTTCAGCACGTCTTTATCTGCAACGGTGGCGTTTGCTCGTCCCTCTGCTTCCCGAGAGGAAAGTGATCCGATGCCAACAGAAGGAAGAACTGCGGACGGGGCAGAAGGAACAGGGAAGGTGGGACGGGGCAGAAGGAACAGGGAAGGTGGGACGGGGCAGAAGGAACAGGGAAGGTGGGACGGGGCAGAAGGAACAGGGAAGGTGGGACGGGGCAGAAGGAACAGGGAAGGCGGGATGGGGTAGAAGGAAGAGGGGGGGGAAGGATGTGAGCTGCTTGTCGTTGAGCTTCAGCAGCTTCAGCACGTCTTTATCCGCCACTATCGCGCTTGCCCTCCCTTTGGATTCTCGAGACAAGAGCGACCCGATTCCCGCAGAGGGGAGAGCTGGAGGAGGAGAGGGGCAGGGAACGAGGGCCGGGGAGAGAAGGGAAGCCACACAGCAAAGGCCTTGCATCTTGTCGTTTGGCTGCAACGAAATGACTTTTTCCAGCTCATGCGTTACGAACCTATTCCGAAAACGAGACACAGGTACATGAATACACACGATTCAAGTATCCAGCTAGAGGACCAGAGGTGCCAGCATTGTGGGTGCGTATGGAAGGCAGTATCTGCCGAGCTAGCTGGAATGGGCAATAGTACCTGACTGGAAGGCTAGGATCCGGCCTCCTGTTTTCTTCATGGCTAGGAAAGCACCCTGGAGGGAGAGAGAGAGAAGAGGAGTGGCAGAAGAGGAGGCAGTGGGAGAGGAGAGGAGAGTGGGGAGGGAGATGGAAGCGGGAGCGAGGAACAAAAAAACGCAAACGGGGTGTATAGAAGAATTAGCACCCCTGGCAAGCTGGGTGACAAAAACTGCAGCGCTTCTCCCAGGCATGAGTCAGCGACTCAAGTCTCTGCAAACACCCCTAACAATTATGCACCCCCACACATACCTCTCTCCCCACACATACCTCTCTCCCCACACACACCCGCAATGCACACACTCACCTGCAGGCACGAGTCAGCAACACGTGTTTCGGCAAACATCTGAGGAATCGACTCCAACAGCTGCTCCAGCCGCTCCCACACCCACCCATCCCCTATTCAGACACACGCACAGAAAACACACTCACCTGCAGCGCTGCCCCCAGGCATGAGTCAGCGACACGTGTCTCGGCAAAAATCTGTATTATTGACTCCAGCAGCTGCTGCAGTTGCTCTCGCACCCACGCACAAACAAAGCACTCCCACACACTCCTGCAACACAACGCTGCCCCTCCCCTTCCCCCTTCCTCCTCTATCACTCACCTGCAGCGCTGCCCCCAGGCATGAGTCAGCCACGCGTGTCTCTGCAAACATCTGGGGGACCGACTCCAGCAGCTGCTGCAGCCTCTCCTGCGCCTGATGGGGGAACAAAAGGAGGGGAGGAGATGAGAGGGTTTCGAGTTGAGAGGGTAGAGAGGGCAGGCAGGGGCTCATATCAGGCACGAGTCAGTCAGCCACGCGAGTCTCTGCAAACATTTGAGGAATCGACTCCAGCAGCTGCTGCAGCCGCTCCCTGATGGGGGAATGAGGATTAGAAGGGATGAGGATGAGAGGGGAATAGAGGGGATGAGAGGAAATGAGAGGGAATGAGAACGGATGAGAGGGGATGAGAACGGATGGGAAGGGATGACAGGGGAATAAGAGGGCTTAGGGTTGCAGGGTGTTTGTGAGAATTCTCAAAAACACCCTGCAGCATCATGGGGTAGTAATGAGGGCCCGCAGGGGATCGTTTCAGGGGGCAAGAAACGGCAACGCGTGTTCTTCTGACATTTAAGAATTCTCCCATGGCAAACATCTGTGCAATGCAATGATTGCTGCTTCTAACTAAAGCTCGGCTCATCAAACAGAATAATAAGGTAGAACGGCATGGGAATGACATGACCTGATCATCATGGGAGTGTCATGGGTCATTGAAGCTCCGACTCAAGCGTACCATAGCTACAGGACAATACCTCGTCAAGCGGAACGATGAGGTCGGAGGGCAGCGGAGTGTATACGTCCTCCACTTCAGGCACCACCAGCATGGATGGCTGGGGACAGGAGAAAAAAGGGAGGGGAGGAGGGGAGGAGGGGAGGAGGCGGGAAGTGGGTGCGTGCAGGCACGATGAGGTCAGAGGGCAGCGGAGTGTATACGTCCTCCACCTCTGGTACCACCAGCATGGACGGCTGCAGGGGGAAAGGCAGGGGCGGGTGGGGGGTTTGTAGGGGACGATAAGTGGTACAGTAAGGTCTGGTGAGGTCGGACGGCAGGGGGGCGTACACGTCCTCTACCTCTGGGCCACCAGCATGGACGGCTGCAGGTGGGGAGGCAAGAGGGTTACTTACATACAGGCCACATGGCCTCTATGGGGTCAGAGGGCAAGAGGGTTACTTACAGTTACAGGGGTAATAATGCCACATGGCAGGGGCTTATGAACTTCAACAGCAGCACCACCAGTGCATATGGGTAGATGTACCATGAGTGTTACAAGTCAAGTCACGGTTACAGCCCACCGTTACAAGTCACTCATTACAAGTCGCCGTTACAAGTCGCCGTTACAACTGTGGTTAAGTCCCACGAACAAATTCGTAACTTGTATTTCTCACCTGCGCCAGAGAGCTGTTGAGGCTGTAGAATTGGATGGTGGAGTTGAAGGTGGCAAATGCAACGAGCGTGCGACCGCCCTCCTGGGAGAGGAGTGATGCAGTGGGGGTGGAGAGGGGTGAAGAGGCGTGGAGAGGGGCACAGGGTAAATGGTGTAGCCAGATACAGAGAGCTGTTAACGCTGTAAGTGGATGGTGGAGTTGAAAGAGGTGAATGCAACAAGCGTGCGACCCTCCTGAGAGGGGTGAACAATGGTGGTGGCAAATTGGGTTAAGAAAAGCTCATGGGCATGGTGAATTCGTCTCTCTCACAGAGGAAACATGTCCGAATTGTTATCGTCTCTCTCTTACAGGCAGGTCCTGCAGTATGCGAGAGATGGAGGAGGAGCACGCAGCCGAGGCAGCTCTCTGTTGTGACTCGAGGGTTAAGCTTGGTCAGTTAACACAATTTCTGTGGTGAAGCAGCAGCTAAACACTCACAGGTAGGTGTAAACAGAGTTGTTTTGAGACGTCTCATCACAACTCTGTTTACAAGGTGACTTTTGAGTCGACTCAAAAGTCGCCTCGTTACAATGGCACACGACAAGACGTCTCAAAACAACTCTGTTTACACGTGACTTCTCTCTTTCTGTGGTGAAGCAGCAGCTAAACACTCACAGGCAGGTCGTGCAGGATCTCACAAACTCGCGGCTTGAGCTTGGTTAGTGCAACGCAATTTGTACTTTAGAGTGATGGCAGCACAGAACACTCACAGGCAGGTCCTGCAGAATGCGAGAGATGGAGGAGCACGCAGCCGAGGCAGCCCCGGACGCCACAGCGTTGAAAGAAACATCGAGCAGGAAGAAGTAGACTGGTGGCATGGCATCTCGGATCTGCATGGAGATTGGGGAACACCGAAAGTGGAAGAGGACGGGACGTGACAAGGCAGCAGAGGCATCAGAGGCAGCAGAGGAAACAGGAGCAGGCAGCTGAGGCAGCCCCGGACGCCACAGCATTGAAGGAAACATCGAGCAGGAAGAAGTAGACTGGCGGCATGGCATCACGGGTCTGAAAGGGAGAGAGGGAGGGAGGGGGGAGGAGGGCAAGAGGAGAGGGTTGGGGGGGTTGGGGGGACTGAAAATCACAAGGCAACAGAAGCAGCTCCAGAGGCCACAGCATTGAAGGAGAAATCGAGCAGGAAGAAGTAGACTGGCGGCATGGCATCACGGATCTGATGTCGAGAGGGGAGGGGTGGGAAAGCGGGCAAGAGCAAAGGGTTGGAGAAGCACAGGCAGCACAGCCAGCCGAGGCAGGAAGAAGTAAACTGGTGGCATGGCATCACGAATCTGATATGTGGGGGAGAGGGGGAGAGACGCAGCACAAGTGTTAGAAGAGGGGAGTTGACAAGGCAGTAGAGAGAACAGAAGCAACCGAGGCAGCCCCGGACGCCACAGCATTGAAGGAAACATCGAGCAGGAAGAAGTAGACTGGCAGCATGGCATCACGGATCTGATGATTGTGTGTGTGGAAAAGGGAGTGCAGCAGAAGTGTTCAGAGGAGGGGAAGTGACAAGGCAGCAGGGGCAGCTGAAGCAACTCCAGGCCACAGCATTGAAGGAAACATCGAGAAGGAAGAAGTAGACCGAGGGCATGGCATCTCGGATCTGAATGGGAGAGAGGTGGGAGGGAGAGAGGGGAGAGGCCAGGAAGAGGAGGTTGGGGGTTGGGGGGTTGGGGAAACTGCAGTCACAAGGCAGCAGAAGCAGCTCCGGAAGCCACAGCGTTGAAAGAGACGTGGAGCAGGAAGAAGTAGACCGAGGGTACGGCATCACGGATCTGACGTTTGTGTGTGTGAGAGGGCAAGAGGAGAGGGGTGGGGAAACAGAAATCACATGAGCAGCGTTGGAAGGGGGAGTCGAGGAGGAGGAAGAAGTGGACTGGCGGCATTGCTCCCATCCCATGCATCTTGCGGGATATCCCGAATCTTCGCCTGCTAGCCGGGTCCTCATTGGTGCTCCCATGCATTCACAACATTCATTTGCCAATTGGCGATTGCTCCCATGCATTCCTTTGGTGCCATAAACTCCACGCTCCCATGCATTCCTTTGGTGCCATAAACTCCACGCTCCCATGCATTCCTTTGGTGCCACAAATTCCACGCTCCCATGCATTAGCTGCAGGCGCACAACACCCACCCCTTGATGGGACGAGTCAGTTCAAGCATTGTGTATTGCACTACTCCCAGGCACAGCACGCACCGAGTACTCCTTTGGTGCCACAAACTCCACGCTCCCATGCATCAATTCTGGCCTCTCATCCGCGTCCCTCCGCCTGCCGTCAGGGCCGAGATTACACACGTACTCGCGAGGGGTCTCGTTGGAGACGCCTGGTGGGAGGGAGGGACGAGGAGGCAGGTTCGACTTATCAGGAAAAGGGAACATCCCTCCTGCTGCCATCCGGACCGAGATTACACACGTACTCGCGGGGGGTCTCGTTGGAGACGCCTGGTGGGAGGGAGGGACGAGGAGGCAGGTTCGACTTATCAGGAAAAGGGAACATCCCTCCTGCTGCCATCCGGACCGAGATTACACACGTACTCGCGAGGGGTCTCGTTGGAGACGCCTGGTGGGAGGGAGGGACGAGGAGGCAGGTTCGACTTATCAGGAAAAGGGAACATCCCTCCTGCTGCCATCCGGACCGAGATTACACACGTACTCGCGAGGGGTCTCGTTGGAGACGCCTGGTGGGAGGGAGGGACGAGGAGGCAGGTTCGACTTATCAGGAAAAGGGAACATCCCTCCTGCTGCCATCCGGACCGAGATTACACACGTACTCGCGAGGGGTCTCGTTGGAGACGCCTGGTGGGAGGGAGGGACGAGGAGGCAGGTTCGACTTATCAGGAAAAGGGAACATCCCTCCTGCTGCCATCCGGACCGAGATTACACACGTTTTCGCGGGGAGTCTCGTTGGAGACGCCTGGTGGGAGCGAAGAATAGGTGGAAAGAGGGGGATGAGGGGAGGTTGACCCACCTCTCCCTTCTCTCTTCCCACTCCCCCACTCACAGTACAGGTTGCAAATGAACTTCCTCCCATGATCCACGAATCGCATGAATGGGTTGATGCATGCCTTGCCCTCTCCCTCATCTCTCTCTCTCCTCATCCTTGTACCACAACCAGTTCTTCTCTCCCCTCTCACGCACCGCACAGGTTGCAGATGAACTTCCCCCCATGGTCCACGAATTGCATGAACGGGTTGATGTATGACCCTCCCTCTCACCCCCTCCCCCTCCCCAAAAACTCCCCCCCACGCACCACAGAGATTGCAAATGAACTTCCTCCCGTGGTCCACGAATCGCATGAACGGGTTGATGTATGCCTTGCAGCGGTGGCACCTGACAGGTCCCATTTCACCGAAATCCACCACCTGGAGATCCAGAGACAAAACGGTTATGGGAGAAGGAGAAGGTAAAGGGATGATGAGATGAGAGCAGGTGCGGAAATGCATGAATGCATGATGAATGAATGAATGAACGAACGAACGAACGAACGAACGAACGAACGAACGAACGAACGAACGAACGAACGAACGAACGAACGAACGAACGAACGAACGAACGAACGAACGAACGAACGAACGAACGAACGAACGAACGAACGAACGAACGAACGAAGGAACGAAGGAAGGAAGGAAGGAAGGAAGGAAGGAAGGAAGGAAGGAAGGAATGAATGAATGAATGAATGAATGAATGAATGAATGAATGAATGAATGAATGAATGAATGAATGAATGAATGAATGAATGAATGAATGAATGAATGAATGAATGAATGAATGAATGAATGAATGCATGAATGAATGAATGCATGAATGAATGAATGCATGAATGAATGAATGCATGAATCCATGATGAATGAATGCATGATGAATGAATGAATGAATGAATGAATGCATGATGAATGAATGAATGCATGCATGAACCAGCAGCACGGCAGCTATGTTGATGTGACTTTTGAGTCAACTCAAAAGTCACCTCGATGAGATGAGAGCAGGTGCGGAAATGAATGAATGCATGATGAATGAATGAATGAATGAATGAATGAATGCATGAACCAGCAGCACGGCAGCTATGTTGATGTGACTTTTGAGTCAACTCAGAAGTCACCTCGATGAGATGAGAGCAGGTGCGGCAATGCATGCATGCATGCATGCATCAACCAACAGCACGGCACGGCAGGGCATGAAGGGGTTGATGCATGCCTTGCAGCGGTGGCACCTGATGGACCCCCCATCTCCCCAAAGTCCTGACCCACACTCCTCTCCTCTCACTCACATGCACGGGCGTGTCAGCCGGGTCCTGCAGGGCGAACGGTTGAATCATGATGCTGAGAGGCATGGCGGAGATGGTGAGGAGAGAGGCCCACCCAACCCATCCCGCCATAAGGGGGTGAGATGAGGTGAGTATACCAGCCCTACCAGCCCCACCTGACCCACACTCCTCTCCTCTCACTCACATGCACGGGGGTATCAGCCGGGTCCTGCAGGGCGAACGGCTGGATCATGATGCTGAGAGGCATGGCGGAGGTGGTGAGGAGAGGGGCCCACCCACCCACCCACCCAGCCTGCTGACAAATGTTACTTCACATAGAACCCACCAGCCTCCCCCAACTCTCTTACATGCACGGGCGTGTCAGCCGGGTCCTGCAGGGCGAACGGCTGAATCATGATGCTGAGAGGCATGGCGGAGGTGGTGAGAAGATCTGCAGAGAGAGGTATCTGGAGCAACACGATGGGAAGAGGCGAGGGGGAAGGGGTAGGGGCGGATGGGAAGAGTGTGGGTGAGACGGTGCCACTGGTGGAGGCGGCTGAATCATGATGCTGAGAGGCATGGCGGAGGTGGTGAGGAGATCTGCAGAGAGGGGTTATCTGCGCAATGTGCGAAGGGAAGAGGGTAAGGGGGAGGGATAGAGGGGAAGGGTAGAGGTGGTGGTGGTCATGATGGTGAGAGGCATGGCGGAGGTGGTGAGGAGATCCGAAGAGAGAGGTATCTGGATGCAAGAGGGTGGCAAGAAAGGGTAGAGAAAGAAAGGATTGTATTTTAGAATTCTCACAATCAACCTGCAGGGTTATCTGGATGGGAGAGGGTAGCAAGCAAGGGTAGAGAAAGAAAGGAAAGTGAGAGATGGTGACAATGGTCTCACACCTAGTCACCCACTCACACCCACTCACACCCACTCACACCCACTCACACCCACTCACACCTGCCCACACCTGCCCACATCTGCTCTCTCACCTGGTTCAGTGGTGCTCGGATGAATCGGGGGCTGCATATACCACAAGTGTGAGACTAGTACCAGTCGACACACCTGCTCTGCTCGCACCCACCTACCCACACCTGCTCACACCTATCCATACCTGCTCACACCTGCTCACACCTGCTCTCACACCTCCTCACCTTCTCACACCAACCCACACCTACTCCCTCCCCTGCTCGCCTGCTCACACCTACCCACATCTGCCCACACCTGCCCACATCTGCCCACACCTGCCCACATCTGCCCACACCTGCCCACATCTGCCCACACCTGCCCACATCTGCCCACACCTGCCCACATCTGCCCACACCTACCCACATCTGCCCACACCTGCCCACATCTGCCCACCTACCCACATCTGCCCACACCTGCCCACATCTGCCCACCTACCCACATCTGCCCACACCTGCCCACATCTGCCCACACCTACCCACATCTGCCCACACCTGCCCACATCTGCCCACACCTGCCCACATCTGCTCTCTCACCTGGTTCAGCGACGCTCGGATGAACCGGGGGCTGCAGTTACCCGTGTCGCGAACCACAAACGATGACGTGGCGGCCTGTGATAGGGGCAAGGCAAGCAAGAAAGGGCGCGTGCACACAGGCAGCATGCAAGAGATTTGTCATGAGCAGAATTAGCACTCCAACTCGTGTGGATTCAGACGGGCACGTGAGTCGACTCAAAGGTCACCTCATAGGGGCAAGGCAAGCAAGAAAGGGCGCGTGCACACGGGCAGCACGCAAGAGATTCGTCTCTGGAGGGGGCACGGAATCAGCACTCCAACTCGTGTGGATTCAGACGGGCGGGTGGGGAGTGCCAAGAGGGGGAAGTCTGGTTGGGATAAGGGGGGCGGAGGGCGCGGGCGGATGGATCATTGGCGGGGGGGATTGGGGGGGGTGGGGGGGGGTGGGGGGGGGGAGGAGGCGGGATAGGGGGAGGGGCGGCATGGGAACTGGTTGGAGAATCCTTTCCATGGTAGAAGAGAGGTTGTATCTGGCTGCGTCAGGAGCAACGAGAGCAGCAGCAGGAGCACTCACCGGAGGCAAGTTCGCAACTCACTGGAGGCAAATTCGCCGTGCCATTCACTCGAGTTCCACAGAGAAACGCGTCCGAGGGGGGCGGAGGGCGGGGGATCTGGTTGGGGTCGATCCGAGACCCAGGAGCCGACCCCTGCTGCCCCACCACCTGCCCCGTGAAGGGTTGGCGCGGGTGCCTACCACCACACGACCCCGTACTACAGGCCACAGGAAACCCTCTGCTGCAAGGCAAGGGCAAGGAGAGCAGCAGCAGCACTCACCGGGGGCAAATTTGCTGTGCCATTGACCCGCGTCTCAAAGAGAAACGCGTCCGCGGGGGGCGGGGGGCGCGGGATCTGGTTGGGGTCGATCCGAGACCCAGGCGCCGACCCCTGCTGCCCCGCCGCCTGGCCTGTGAAGGGCGCCATGGGCTGCCGCGCGCCCATCCCGGGGGAGGGGGGCGCATGTCCGCCCATTCCTGGGGACTGAGAGGGCGCGCCCACGCCCGGAGGCTGGGGAGGGAAGGGGAAGGGGGAAAGCGGAAGAGGGAGGAGGGAAGCGGGTGAAAATGGTGTGAGTGAGAGAAATTAGGGCGCGGACCCCTGCTGCCCGCCGCCTGGCCTGTGAAGGGCGCCATGGGCTGCCGTGCGCCCATCCCGGGGGAAGGAGGCTGAATCCCGGGGGATTGCAGGGGCGCGCCCACGCCCGGGGGCTGGGGAGGGGGAGGGGGAGGAGTGGAGAGAGGGGGAAGGGCGGGGGGGAAGGGTGAGTGGGGGAGGTTAGGGCGCGGACCCCTGCTGCCCCGCCGCCTGGCCTGTGAAGGGCGTCATGGGCTGCCACGCGCCCATCCCGGGGGAGGGCGACTGCATTTCGGGGGACTGTGGGGGCGCGCACACGCCCGGGCGCTGGGGAAGGGGAGGGAGGAGGGACAAAGAATGAGAATCTGGGAGAAAGAAAAGCGTATATCGCGCCAAGATTCCGTGTATGTCCCCATAATTATGTTAACGCGGATTCCACGCGCGTAGGCCCTCATAACCCAAACGAGGAATTCAGTAAATAGGTAAACGCGCGTAGGCCCTCATACTCGTTACGGTTTCAGCTTCTGGGAGCGGTATCATAAAAGGCCAATCTTCCCAAATCTCGGAGAACAAACACAAACAATCTATCCGAATCAAAGCAAAGCGAGCGCACGTGACGATTTGGCAGGGATTGGGAACAAAGGGCACTTTAGAGAATTCTCAAAAGCAGGGATTGGGAGCAAAGGACGGTAAGTTCAAGAGCTGACAGCAGGATTGTGCTTCGGCGCACTCACCGTTCCCGCGGGCATGGGATACGCGCGTCGCTGCGCCGCGCCAGCTGTCGGGGGGGCGCCGAAGGGCGGCGGAGGGCCCGCGCCGGGCATCATGGCTCCGCCAGGCGGAGGGCCTGTCGGGGGAGCGGCGGAGAACGGCGGAGGCGGCGCGTGCTGCCCGTACTGCCCCGGCGCTGACCCGGGCGGAGGCGGAGTATGCTGCGCGTATTGCCCCTGGGCGGACCCGGGGGTTGCACCATATTGCCCCGGGACGGGAGGCGGAGGGCTGCCCATAGCTAGCGCGCTCATTTGCTGAGTTGGCGGAGCGGATTGCGCGGCGGCTCCCCCCCAAGACGGCGGCGCAGCGCCAGGCGGAGGGTGAGGCGCGCCGAAGGGCGGGGGAGGGCCTCCAGGCGCGTTAAGAGGCGCGCCTGGCTGCGCGGGCTGCGGCGGAGCGCCGTACGATGGGGGACCATACGGCGTGGGTCCGGTAGGCGGAGGGCGGGATTGCGCCGGCGGCGGGGGGGCCTGCTGCTGCGGGGGGTAGCCAGGGTACTGCTGCGGCGCACCAGGGTATCCGGAAGGGGGACCGCTGGGGGGGGGCGCGCCAGGGGGAGCGGCGCCTGGCGGAGCGGAACCCGGCGGAGGACCGCCAGGGCGCGGTCCACCCCCCGGGGGGCCCGCGAAGGGGCCAGGCGGATGGGCTGCTCTTCCTGGCGGGCCACCCGCGGGAGGCCCTTGGAAACCCGCAGGCGGACCCGCAAATCCAGCTGGCGGGCCCCGCGCGCCGGGCGGCGCAACCCCTGGGGGAGGCGGACCTGCGGGCCGTGAACCCGGCGGAGGGCCGGCGAACGGTCCCCCGGGGAACGGAGATCCGGCGGGCCTTGCGCCAGGCGGCTGCGCGGATCCCGGCGCACCAGGCGGAACCTGCCCCGGACCAGGGGGTCCGCGCGGAAATCCTTGTTGCTGCGGGGGGTGTTGGCCCGGGGGGAAACCCGGTCGTGCTGGCGGAGCGGTTCCGGGAGGCGGGACGTACGGGGGAGCGGCGCCGGGTGGAGGGGGACGCCAGCCTGGGGGAGGATTCTGAGGCCTCATGGCTGGCGGATGCTACAGTGTAATGGAACTGGTTGATGTTACAATCTGATGCTACAATCTGATTCCACTAATTGATCTTACAAATAGCGACCAGAGATTTGCGAGCCAGAAACGGGAAATAAAGATTTCAATTTTCAAAAGTAACTCGAGATCGGAGAAGCTGGAGAATCTACTAGCTTGATTGGAATAGATCCCTAACTCCAATCGATAGTTGTGCGAAGGATCTGCTAGTATGATCAATGAGCCAAAATTGCCGCGAGGAAGGAAGCAGTGTCAGAAGATTGTGTGGTGGAAGGTGGGAACATTTTGAGATCATGTACCACTGGTATGGTACGTTGCGGTTCGATGTGGTAGAGATCAGTTCCTGTGAATGACAAGACAGCCGCTAGTGAAACGGATCTCCAAACCAAACCAATCTGACCCCAACAGCAAACCTAGAATATGCCGCGGCTGGCTGGGGCTCCGCGAGGTGTGATCCGCTGCGCGAAGTGTAACAGTGGCCTAATTACGAAACGATCCTCTTCGTCGAAACCTTCAGGCGCACATGATTCCACAAAAGATCTCTCCACGGGTGTGCCGCACCCAAGCCTGCAGTAACACAGCTGCAACCTTCCTGCCATTGGGCTTGGTGGCTTTGTGTTATGAGTTGTAAAGGAGAGTGCGCAAAATAACGAATAAAGAGAATGTGATTGAACAGACTGATCATACAATGAAGGCACATGCTAATGTAGTGGCTAGCCTAGCTAGGAGGGAACTTCGGGTGAGTGAGGTTGGGTGCAGGTTTGGCGAAGGGAAAGGCCGAAGGCGACGCGAGGAGGCTCGGCATCGTTGATGTCGGCCAAATGTACAGAGTCCGAAAATCGGGGCTATACGCGAAGCAGTCAACCCAGATAAGGAATTCGGGAAAATTCCTTACACTACCCCCCCCCCCCCTCTAAGAAAGGTGGTCAATATCCGCAGCTCGCTTGCGGGTGAAATAATCACCAATAAGCGGAGAGTCTTCAAGCGAAGCGGATGATACCCACGTGTCGTCTTCACTGGTGCAGTCAGTCCAACGGATGAGAAAATCCACGTGGCGACCAGCGGCATCCAGTCGTACACGATGCGCCAATATCTTAGACGGATCGAGTGTCGGTTCTGGTACCGGACGTGCCGTTGGTGCAGCCTGTTGTCGTGCGATGTCTGTCGTGGCTGGCATGAACTTACGAAGTAAGCTGACGTGGAAGGTGTCATCGATACGCCAGTCGTCGGGTAGCAGCAGCTTCGCGGTAACAGGTATCTGTTAGACTGTGAACGAATGAATGACTGAACTAGAAAGCAGGTGGGTACAAGTAGGAAACCTAAAAGTGTTGTACCCTATATGAACTACCCCACTACTGCCTAAACATAGCATATAAGTTTGACACACCCCCATAGGCAAAGTGGGGGAGAACAAGAGGTCACAAGACCAGTCAAGAAAGGCAAAGCAAGCTCAGGGTGGATCACAAAGTCACCACGCAGTCTGAGCACAAGCAAATGGCCACAAGGCCAGTTCACATGCAGAGTTATATAAAGGAAAACAACCAATACAGTGAACATAACCTAGCAAGTGTAAGCATGCAGGTATATGTATAAAGAGTACAGTACAAGCAGAGTCAAGAAGTAAGCAAGTGAGGCACATTAGGTACAAGACCTAACACAGTATAGAAACGCTGATGATCACAAGGCCGAAGTGCCTTGGTGAAAACATCAGCAGTGTTGGCCTGAGAGGCCACGTAAGCAAGGCGAAGCTGGCCACGCTGCTGTAACTCTCGAGCAAGGAAGTAGCGCAGAGCAATGTGCTTCGTTCTGTGCTCCAGTCTGTGCTCCTGACACAAGGCAAGAATGGCCTTGTTGTCGACGTACAGAACTGGAGGAGAACGAGGCGTCTCTCCCAGGTCGGTCAGCAGGTAGGTGAGCCAGCGTAGCTCCTGTGCAGCCATGGCCCCAGCGTAGATCTCAGCCTCACAACTGGAGCTGAGAACAGAAGAAGAGCGGGTAGACCGCCAAGAGACAGAACCGGAGCCAAGACTGAAGGTGTAACCCTGTGACGACTGCTGCGTAGCCAAGTCGTCAACCCAGGAGGCGTCAGCGTGACCAGTGAGGACAACTCGAGCCCGTCCTCCAAGCACGAGCCCCATGCCCAATGTACTGCACAAGTATCGCAACACCCTCTTCGTAGCATCCCAGTGCACCTTTCGGTGCCTGCCGGGAGCCACGTAGCGAGCCAGAAGGCTGAGAGGGTATGCGAGGTCAGGTCGTGTGCAAGTCATCAGGTACATGAGGCAGCCCACAAGCTCTGGATACGGGCCACTCGGCTCTACGGACTCGTCCGAAGGTGGAGCTGAGAGCGAGTGACCGGTAGGCAGAGGAGTGGACTGTGGCGAGGAGTACGTGAAGCCGAAGCGCTGAAGGACCTGCTGCACCATGTGTGACTGAGTCAAGGTAATGGTGCGCTGTGCTCTATCCCGCCAAGATAGCTTGTCAGCTCACCCAGGTCAGTGCAAGTGTGTCTCTTCTGCAGCTCGGACTTCACGTGGGCGAGTGCCTCAGTGTCAGCAGTAGCAAAGACGAGGTCGTCTACGTACACGAGAACGTAGAACGGCGGCAGAGTAGTGTCAGTGCGTAAAAACAGAGAAGGGTCAGCAGTGGAAGGAGCAAAACCAAGAGCAGCAAGAGTCGTCCTGAGTGTGTCGTGCCACTCACGGGGTGCCTGGCGGAGACCGTAGACTGGCCGCTGGAGGCTCTACTGGGTACCAGCAGGAAACGACCCAGTGAAGCCTGGTGGGCGGCGCAGCCAGATCTCCTTGTGCAGGCTGCCCTGTAGGAAGGCTGTGCTGAAGTCAAGCGAGTGGAGCTCGTAGTCACGCTGAGCAGCAACGTGCAGCAGTACCCGAAGAGTGGTCATCTTCGGGGTAGGGGAGAAGGTCTGAAAGAAGTCAACTCCCTGTTGCTGACTGAAACCACGTACAACGTAACACGCCTTGAAGGCAGGCGGAGAACCCGGCGGCCGCTTCACCCTGAAGATCCACATGTCACTGACGATGTTCGCCCCAGGTGGGGGAACCTCGTCTACGTAGGTGCCTGTGGACTTCCAGGAAGCCATCTTGGCGTCCATGGCTGCCTGCCACTGAGAGGAGTAGGGACCCTCTATTGCCTCTGCGTAAGAGCGCGGGGTCGGGATGTCTGGTGCATCCGGGTCTCCCTCAGGGGCAAGCAGCATGGACACGAGATGAGGTACAGCAGCGGCAAAGCACTCAAACTCCTCCTGTCTGTCCTCAAGAACGTCCGTGCCAAGAGCACACTCACCCCCAACGGACGGAGGACAGACAGACGCAGACTCAGACTCAGCAACAAGACTAGTGGCGTAGTCGAGGCGACAGGCTGCAGCAAAGTCAACAAGCTCAGCAACAAGATCAGACGTAGCAGTGGACTCAAACAAAGGGTCAGTGACAGCAGTGGCCAGAAAGCGCGTGACAGCTGGACGAGCAGCACGAAGGGAGTCAGACCCAGGGTCTGGACTGTCAGGAAGAGAGGACGCAGGAGGAGACGGCAGAGGGACACGCTGTGGAGCAGTGGAAGGACGCAGAGTCATAGAGTGAGTGCCAGGGACAGGAGGAGGACGCGGATGCGAAACACGACCAGCGCGAACAGTACTGACAGGCGACGCAGAACGAGACTCAGGCGACACAGGACATGACTCAGGCTCACGACGCTCCGTAAGACCTCTAGTCGGTCCAGAGTAAGGAGAAGGACCAGGCAGTGGAGAGGCCGGCTGTAACGGCGTCTGTGACTGGACAGGCGATGGACTCAGTAAAGGAGGAGTAGGACCAGGAGAAGGCGGGGGACCAAGAACCTGCTGAAGGAGCGGAACGTAGTACGGCCGCGGCCGCGCAGCGCCTCGAGAAACAGCAGAGACAGCACTAGTACCCCCACCTCCAGGGTCTCCAGCAACAACTCCCGCAGCACCAACGGCTCCAGTACCCGCAGCTCCAATGCCTGCAGCACCACCAGCCCCAGCAGCTCCAGCTCCAGCAGCACCTCCAGCAGCTCTAGCAGCACCTCCAGGAGCTCCAGCAGCTCCATCACCAGCAGCACCTCCAGCAGCTCCAGTAGCACGGTGACAGCGCCGAGCGTACTACTCACGAAGCCGCTGCGGAGAGAGGGGCTCCCGCCGCAACGGGACACCCGGAGAACCTCCAGACGCAGCACGCGTAGGCTCAGCACCCCCAGAAGCAGTACCCCAAGGCTCAGCACCCCCAGGCTCAGGCTCAGCACCCCCACACCCCACACGCTCAGGCTCAGCACCCCCAGACTCCACACGCTCAGCCTTAGCACCCCCAGGCTCCGCACCCCCAGTCCCCGCACCCGCAGGCTCAGCACCCCTAGCAGCACCTGAGTCGACAGCTACCTCGACCGGCTCGGCAGGGTATACCTGAGACACACCTGAGGGGGCAGGACCCTGAGGGGGGAGGGGGTCTACCGGAGGATTACCTGGTGCTAAGAAGAGTGGCGGGGGGGGGGAGAGAGGCAGTGCGGTAGGGAAAGAGACGGTAGTAAGACACCGACTCGTCAAACGTGACGTCCTGAGAGGACAGAACACAACGCGAGGTGGGGTGGTAGAACTGCCACCCGGGTGCGTCAGGGGGGAAGCCAAGGAAGCTGCAGGGAACGGCACGGGAGGACAGCTTGTCCGCTGAAGTATCGCGGACAAAAGCTCGAGATCCCCAGACACGGAACACAGACGCATCGCCAACCTTCCCCGTCCACCGCAGAGTAGGTGTGGTCTCCGGCAAGGAGACACGAGGCTGAAGGTTGATCTGATGCACAGCGTACGGAACCGCGAACGGCCACAGAAAATGGGGAGCAGCCGCATGGATCATGGACGTACGAGCAACGTCCATGACCATGCCAATGCGGCGCTCAGCAATCCCATTTTGCTGTGGGGAGGCCGGAAGCGTGAACGTCTGGCGGATGCCCTC